ATTTTAGAGCTCAAAAATAGCAATTTCAGACAAATTTTCGGACCAGAGTTTCGGAGGATCGATCCAGTCCTCTGGATCGATCCAACTAGAAGAAAAACTCCCAAAGGATCGGTCCAATGAAGGGGATCGATCCACTCTGTGGATTTTCAGCCACTGTTCATTCGTCTTCAACCTCGGTCCATTTTTCGGGAAAACCATTTTTAGTCACCGAACTTCAATTAAACTATATAGAGATGTTCTCCAAGGTTCATAGATCATATTAGAATTATTAAAACATATTTTTAACATCAAATTCAAGGTTTATGATTCTTGGTTCTTCAAACATGTTAAACACAAAACTCAACCACATGATCATTTATGAACTTAGAAACGACCTATATGAACATTCTAGTCATTAGATATATCTACGGGCTTACCTTGAAGGTAAATTAAGGTTTTGAATACTTTCCAGCGGAACTTCCAGCGATGATTACTCCCCACTCCAGCGACTTAGGCGGCAACTAACAACACCAGACTGCTCCCTTCACTCTTATGAACACAATGGTATAATTTTCTAGAAGATTGGTGCAGAATTGGTAAGGATGGAGTATCCTTATATAGAAGAAGAGAAGGGGAAGAGGACATTGGCTGACTCATTTCTGCATATGAAAGTCGCGTAGTGGAGGAGGTTGCGCCGATCGGATATTTACACGATTCTTCCCTGATTGGGACTAATTCCGGTCCCAGTCGGGGTACTCTTTTTGGTCCAACTTTCCCAGAATTGAATTCTGTTTGCATCGCTGCGACCAGACAGTCGAACTCTATCCAACGATATAACCTTTATATTTATTTGTAATACTTTTTCCGACATCATATTTTTGGGTGTTTGACTTTAACAGAGTAAAAATTGGTTTAATTGACCTTTCTCATAAAAGGTTCTCTCATTTAATTCATAACAATTATTCTCATGATTTATTTCAACAAATCATTTCAATATTTACATTTTAAACAAATTCTTTATTACTCTTGATTTGGGTCTGTACTAAGGTTCCCAATCAAGACCACACAAATAGTCGACATATTGGATTTATCTCTATGAGACTTATCCAGATTTTGATATTAGATGTCAAAACAAATTTCGTATCGGCCCAAAGCCCAACAATAATTTATTTTAATCAAAACAAATTTGATTAATTGATTATTTATTCATTAATAATTCTAGGGTATATTTTGGGGCGTTACATGTATACTTTTTTTAAATAATGTAATTTGTGAGTTTTTACATTATTTGTTTTTTTTGTGTATTTAATTGTTAAAATAAAAATACCGAAAACAATAACTACTCTAAAATGGGGAAAAAAACTAATAACGAAATAAAAAATAAACTCAAAAATAATATTTTATTAATTAAGATTATTATTTTATAAAAGATATTATTGATTTGAATAGAAATAAGTAATTATTTATAAAAATAAAAATTTAATCATTGTTGTTGAGATATTAGTATATTACAATTTACACATAGTTAAACCACCTAGCATAATCTAATCATCTCTCTGGGAGTGCGTTGTTTTTTTAGGGGTGAGCATGTACCATACCGTCACCAAAAATTTCCAGATTACCCGTACCAAATTTTACCGAACCGAACCAATTTTTCGAGATGGTATTTGGGAATGGGAACGGGCTCTGTCCCGAACCGAATTTCCCGTACCGAACTACTGTAGCAACCAGCATATATATATATATATGTATATATATATATATAATTATTATAATATACGGAGTATTGAAGTCCAGTCCACTGGTCCAACCAAATTTGGGAATGGGAATTGCCTAATTTTTTAAATATTATATAAATATATATATATACATATATATAAATATATAAATATATATACATACATACATATATATGTGTGTGTGTGTGTGTATATATATATATATATATATATATATATATATATATATATATATATATATATATATATATATATATATATATATATATATATATATATATATATATTNGAGTATTGAAGTCCAGTCCACTGGTCCAACCAAATTTGGGAATGGGAATTGCCTAATTTTTTAAATATTATATAAATATATATATATACATATATATAAATATATAAATATATATACATACATACATATATATGTGTGTGTGTGTGTGTATATATATATATATATATATATATATATATATATATATATATATATATATATATATATATATATATATATATATATATATATATATATATATATATATATATATAAGTCCAACCAAAGCCCAAAACTCCCAAGGGAGAAACATCAAACTAGGACTAAAACATTGAAAATATACTAAAATAGGACTTCTATGTTTTTATTCCCGAAATAAGACTTACACTACCAAAAAGTATAGTAATTTGCACATGTACACTGCCACATTATCATAATGCAAATTCACATTACCAAAGGGCAAAGTGTTATTCTAAAAAAATATAAAAATCATATTTTGGTACTTTTATTTCAGTTCCATGATACTTTTTATTCTCTCTTATTTCCGTTCCACATGGAAAGCAGAAGTAGCCTAAGTGCCAAACTCCCAAACCCAAGCAGGAGCACGAACGGAAATTGAAAAAGACGCCAGAAGGGAAGTCGCCGAGAGAGAGACGCCGTCGCCCGCCTGCACGCTCCACTGCTGCAGAGTCTAGCCGCTGCCCGCCAGACGCCACCTCGCCGGAAACTCTCCCGCCTCCAGGTCCCGGAGTCCAGGTACGGAGGTAAAAAAATACTAATTTCAGAATTTCTTTATGAATTTTACATTTTGTTATGTGTAAGTATGAAAAATCTTTAATCTTTATAAATTTGTGGTATGAATTTGTTATGAATTTTTGTTGTGAATTTGACAATTTGTTATATGAATTTGTCATGTGAAAAATTGAAAATTTTATTTGAATTTTTTGCTAATTGTTATGAATTTGTTGTGAAAATCTGAAATTCTTTTAACTTAGTAATGTGAAAATCTGAAATTCTTTTAGGTAGTGTTTGGGAACATAGATTTGGATTTCAAATCCGGATTCGGCTCAAATTCCATGTTTGGGAAACTTAAAAATTTTGAATTTGGATTTGAGTCAAATTCTTCTCATTCATAACAAAGCTTAATTTGAAATCTATGCACCTCTCTTTGTCATTTAAAATTCAAGATTTCAAATTTTGGAATTAAAATGCATGAATTGAAATGAAATGTTAGTTGCCAAACACTACCTTAATTCTTTTAATCCATACATGACACGGACAACACTTAATATGTTTTTATAACAAGGACATAGATCATATATACTTGTTTTGTCTTTCTTTACTTGCATTGCGGTAGTTGATTAAAACATAGAAAAGCATACAAAAGTAGTTCAAATTGTTTTAGTTAAAAGCATAAACACACGACTCGAGCCTCAAGGCGCTTTAAATGAAACAGATAACAACCTGATTGTTTGATAATCTCTGGACAACAATCTTTTGTACTACTGCTACTGCTATTTGCATTTACTGTTTTTCTATTTAAGACAAATGTTTCTACTACTATTTTTATTACCAATTGTGTATTATACCTTGTTTGTTTAAAAAAATCCCGAAAAAATCCCGTACCGATATCATTTTTTCCCGAACCGTACCGTACCAATATTTTGGGATCGGTAACGGTAACACATGAAATCTCATACCGAACCAAAAGTTATGGTACGGTATTGGTACGGGCATAATCCCGTCTCATACCGTACCATGCTCACCCCTAGTTTTTTTCAAAGAAAAGTCCATCCAGGGCTGAAGCTTTGCGTGGAGTGTAGAGCTATGGCCGCTTCCACCGGAGTGGGGCTATCTTGGGCATCGAGTTTGACCCACAACCGCATGTCAAGATTGGCGGCGCAGCCATCTGGTCGCCGTTGGATTCCCTCTTCTTCTCCCAGTGCCACCACTAGAATGGCGGTGTCATCAGTCCTCGAGAAGCAGAACAATTTTACTCTCCAGAAATCCGAGGAAGCTTTCAAGAAGGCAAAGGTAACACCTAGTATTTTGAATTTCACCTAGTCCTTTTGAATTCGGATGCTTTAGATGATTCATAGTACTTGCTTAGTTGATTGAAGAATATGAATTCTTTTTTTTGGTGAGGGTATGATTCTTAGAGCTGGAGCTTAGCTTCCTGCTTCGGAAATTAGGAATTTTCTGGAATTTTGACAAGAGGCACCATTTGCACAATTGCACCCGCCATTTATTTAAAAAAAATTCTCATCCCAAATTATTTATAGAAGTATCACTGATAAAAAGGCCAGACCATAATTGTTGCTATCACAATAATGGGAGATTATCATACGAAGCTATATTTTTTAATATATTTATCGGGTTAACCAAATTTTATGCAATCAACTTGGTTGAGACTTTGAAACTCTGTTGTTTATAGAAAAAAATGTTAAGAAGTATAACTTCTTTCATACAAATTTGGACTCTTTTTTGGGACAAAATACATTTTTTAAACCGGACTTTTTAGGACCGGGGAACCCTTACCATTTTTATTAAAGAAGAGAGGAGAGTACAAGAATACAAAAGCCAATTGCTTGAAAAAAAAATTAGAGCTAACTGTTACAAATGCTTAGAAAGAAATGGTTTTAGTCCGAGGTCTTCAATATCGGGATCTGACCCCAGCTTGCTTTTGCTCTTACAAGCCTGTTGGATGAGCTTGTTCACCTCTTTGCTTACTCTCTTTATTCTGAAATTGACCCCTTCATGAATAATGAAGTTGTACTCTTTCCACATGTTCCAAATGATGCAGCCTGGTAGCACTTGCGTGGCACACTTTTAGTACTTTTTGTAGAAGTGTGTACACCACCACTCTATAAGGTGTTGGACCAAGGTGATGCCTTCTCTTAGATTTGGGTCATCAATAAGATATGCCTATTGTGTCCACACATGTTTAGAATGTACACACATGGATGGAAAGGTTAAAACTGAGGTTGACCAAATTATTGCAGAAGGTTAAACTGTGGCTGAGGGATCTCCATGTGAAAAGCTGGATTTGTGGTTTCTGCATCTTAGTCCAAGCTAGGGATTATAAAAGTGCTGCATTTGGGGCCAAGTTCACTGCCCTGTAAGCTGATTTGAAGGTGAACTCACCCTCATTCCATACCAGTTCTGCATTAACCATGGTGTTGTTATCCATGTCTAGTGTGTTGGCTCTTCAAATCCTTTTCCAGCCCGGAGAATCATAGGGCTTCTCACTGAAAGTTCCCTCTCTAAAGTACTTTGCCTTCATAAATTTAGACCAAACTGTTCCACATTTGTTCACTTTCCACCAAAGCTTTATGGAACAAGTGGTTTGCAAGTCCTCAATAGTTCTAAACCCAGACCTGCACAGTTCTTTGGCTTCCACAGTGGATGCTATTTGATCCAATGGTGGTTGTTATGACCATCAGACTATCCCCAAAAGAAATTGGCTTGCTTGCTGTTAATGATTCTGATAATGGACTTATGCAATTCTTGGACTGCCAGGTTGTATGGTGGAATTGAGGAAAAAACATGTTTTATAATAACTTAAGAAGCACCCTGCTCATTTGGTTCAGCTACTTATTGTGCCGGGAATTGAGTTATCATCGGAAGTGGTTCAAAAAGGACTCCCTGTGCTTCTTTTGAGCTTACCCTTGGTGATGGTTGAGCCTAGGTTAGTAAAAGGTAGATCAGCAGTCTTGATTCCTATTGCCTCTTCCATTCTGCTTATGGTTAGAAGAGAGGTTCCTTTGCTGCAATAAAAACTATTTTTTCCATAGTTTATGTCTTGACCTGAGACAGTTGGGTATTCATTCAGCACCGACTTGATTCTCAGCATATTCCTTACTCCACCTTTTATGAAGATGATTAGATCATCTGCATAGGCCAAGTGAGAAACCACATGTGTATTACCAGCACTGAAAGGTTTTATGAATCTGCTGCTAATGTTAATTATGTAATGGTTCAGTGTCCTTGTGAACCCCTCTGATCCCAGAATGTAGAGGGGAGAGAGTGGATCCCCTTGTTTAACCCCTGGATTTCCATGAGACTCTATCAATGGCTTTAGCCCTGTCTAGTTTTATGACCACATTCCCATAATCTCATCCCTTACTTTGCTGTCCAAGCAGTGAATCATTTCATTGCTACGGAGGGCATGTTCATTTGTTCATTTTCCTCTCTGAAAACCAGCTTGTTCTTCAGAGACTAGGTTAGGTAGGATGGAGCTTAATCTCTTGGCCCGAATCCTTGAGTTCATGTGGCTCATAAATGATGAGAGTGAGATAGGTCTGTACTCTTCTATGTCCTTTGGATCCTCTTTTTTAGAATAAGAGTAACAAAAGTGCTTCCATAGGATTTGGGAATAAGTATTCAAAGAAAGAACACCTGGGTTGCCTTCACAACATCCGCATTGATAATGTCCCCCTCGTACAACCCAAACACGTTGGTTCATGTGAGGGGCTTCGAGATTCCCCTGTTCTCTCTCTCTCTCTCTCTCTCTCTAGAATGTCCCCCTCGTACAACCCAAAATCTTTGCTCATTTATGATCATGGAACATTGTGAACATGCCCTTCACCTGTTACATTCCCAACTCAGTCATGCCTATCTCCCTTGCAGCAACAACAACAACAACAATCCATTGTAGTCTCACAAGTCGGTGTCTGGGGAGTGGGGTATACGCAGAATTAGAAACATTTGAAACTCAACCATGAAAATAACATTTTTTCGAGAAAGCATAATAAAGAAAGCAAATCTTAAGAAGAGGCAAAATCCTTCGTGGGTTCCATTTGTAGTCAAGTAGGTTAAACTTGTCAATCCATTGTAACACTGATTTTTTTTTCTGGTTTAACAAGTCTGGTTGTTTGTAATGTGTAACTAGTACAATTTTATTATTTTTGGTGAAATATATCCCCAGGGGCAACTGAATCTTGCCAACGAAAAGTGCATGACATGAGTAATCATTGTTACATTTTCAGCCATGGTCTGGACTCAGGAGGGATCAAAGTTGTGTTGACATGACTATGTCATGTGCCTTCAAGATGTTCAATTCCATTAAAATATCAGTAATCTGAATATCTAATTGACTAAGTAGGACAATGATTTAGTACATGCATGAATCATATCATTCATATCCTAATAGATAGAGTCATAGAGATGTCAGAGCACTTGTTTTACGTGTTTTCAGAATAAAGAAAATGTGAATGAATGATATGAATGTGGCAGGAGTTGATGCCTGGAGGTGTGAATTCGCCTGTTCGTGCCTTCAAATCAGTCGGCGGGCAGCCTATTATGATTGATTTTGTGAAGGGCTCGTATATGTGGGACATAGATGGAAATAAGTATATCGACTATGTAGGTTCTTGGGGCCCAGCTATCATCGGCCATGCAGATGACAAGGTCAGTTCTACTCTAATGCATTGTGCTTGAGATAACCATTAATGCTCAAAATAGTTTTGTTTATCTCACATTATGGACTGCAATTCTGCTTTTCTTGGGCTGCACAAAAAAAATAGGCCCTTTTATGACCTATTTGTAATAAGTCAATGATGTTGATAAGGGAATGCTTACATGAAATGTGCAGTTGTAACTTTTATTGCCAACCCACAAGAAGTGGAACAATAATGAATACATTGATATTTTAAAAAAGACAAACTTAAAATTTCTGTACATATGGAGGATAGTCGCAATAAGTGCCATTCTAGTTTCATTCAGAGACCCTTAACAGAAAAAGTGATCCATTTATAGCTCAAAGATGTTAATATTTTACCCTTATTCAGGTACTGACAGCATTGACCGAAACAATGAAGAAAGGGACAAGCTTTGGTGCTCCATGTCTTCTTGAAAACACATTGGCAGAGATGGTCATTGAAGCTGTTCCGTCCATTGAAATGGTTCGATTTGTTAATTCAGGGACAGAGGCTTGCATGGGTGTGCTAAGACTTGCTCGTGCTTTCACTGGGCGAGAAAAGTTGATCAAATTTGAGGGATGTTACCACGGGCATGCAGATCCGTTTCTTGTTAAAGCAGGCAGTGGGGTTGCTACCTTAGGGCTCCCAGACTCCCCTGGAGTTCCCAAAGCAGCAACATCAGAAACACTTACTGCCCCCTACAATGACATTTCAGCCGTGGAAAGCCTCTTTCACGCCAACAAAGGGGAAATTGCAGCCATTATCCTGGAGCCTGTAGTTGGAAATTCTGGTTTTATTTTGCCCAAGCCCGATTTTCTCAATGCATTGCGTCGGATGTCAAAAGAGAATGATACTCTCCTCATCTTTGATGAAGTCATGACTGGATTTCGCTTGTCATACGGTGGAGCTCAGGAGTATTTTGGCATAACCCCTGATTTGACAACACTTGGGAAGATCATTGGTGGTGGCTTGCCTGTAGGGGCATACGGTGGGAGGAGGGATATTATGGAGATGGTGGCACCTGCTGGACCTATGTATCAGGCTGGGACGTTGAGTGGAAATCCTCTGGCAATGACTGCTGGAATCCACACGCTAAAGCGGTTAAAGGAACCAGGAAGCTACGAATACTTGAACAGCATCACGGGTGAATTGATCAATGGGATTTTGGTGGCTGGACGGGAGGCAGGTCATGCAATATGTGGTGGGCATATCAGCGGCATGTTTGGCTTCTTTTTCACGGATGGCCCAGTTTACAACTTTGCTGATGCAAAGAAGAGTGACACTGCAAAATTTGCAAGATTCTATAGAGGAATGCTAGAGGAAGGCGTGTATTTTGCACCTTCCCAATTCGAAGCTGGTTTTACTAGCTTAGCGCATACTCCTGAGGACATTCAACACACAATCACAGCTGCTAAGAGGGTTTTCCAGAAACTCAAATAGTTTTCTTCTTATTTTTCATTTCATATTTCTGTTCATTTCCCTCATCTTTGGAATTAACTTTGCTCGAAGTTAGGTTTGATGTTTGTGCTTGATCCATTGTTTCTGTGGATTTGTGTAATAGCATTTCAGGCTGTCATCAAGCTGTTTTCCCTTGATTCAAAAGCAGAAGCTGCTATGTGATGGTTTGTTTGTAATGCTCTCTTTACGTTTGTTTTCTTATTTCTCTTTATGCTGTTAATTACACCTGACAGTGGTATAATATACTCCCTCCGTTCTATAAAAGTGTTCCTATTTTGACTTTGTGTAAAAATAAGGAAGTGTTAAATTGTAGTTGACTTCCAATTTTGCCCTTGATGTGATGGATAAAAGTAAGATGTGATAGATTGAGTATTAGAGAAAAAATATGATGTGATAGGTAAGGTATGAAAAAATAAGGGTAAAAGTGGTTTTTTAATAGATAGTGGAAGTGTTTTGTTGGAAATAAAAAAATGAAAGATGAAGAGTTTTTTGAGAACGGAGGGACTATTATTCATGTCACCTTTTCCAACATATATAAATGTGCATCCCCTTCTTATTTTTTGTTTGTCGATTCCTTTCCTCTGACATAATTTTTTCCACTGATAACACAGGTAATTATATATAGAGTGAGGAACATGGGAGGTGTGGATAATGATGAACCTGTTAAACGGCACGGCCACCCCTAAAGAGGTGCTAGAGGTGGTTTTACAACTATGATTATTTTTCACAAAGACAAAAATCCCAAGAGCACTCCAACAAATAAAAACGCAAGAATAATGTAGGGAAGTGCAAGAGACAACGATGTATCTTGCTTCGACTTAATGTCTATGCCCAGTCTCCGAACAAAAAGTGCCTGAGATTTTACTAATCTTTGTCAAAGTTAACGAAGTTTGAAAATATGAATACAACTTAGAGGAATTGATTTCACAAGTCAATAAACTACCTTTTCACCGGAGTCTTGATTTCACAAGATTTAGGATTTCAATTCTATCCAAACTTGAATCATAACAAATTCAAGTTCTTGCAACTCAAAACTTACAATCAAAAGTGCACAATGGAGAAATCTCTTTGTACAATAGTGAATTGTTGTAGATTACAAGGATCTTATAGAGTATGACATAATTGAACTCTCCAAATCTCAAGCAAAAAGATATTCTTGAAGAAATGCTTGGAAGATGAGGAGGATGATAGAACTGTATGAAACTCTTTGGATAAACAAAAGGTGAATGTATGAATGTGATGTGTGTCTTAGATTCAAAAACCACGACCCAATGAAGGTTAAAATATATAGGATGACTATAAGGGTAAAAAATTTAAAAAAATATACCTGTTAGGGAAGTTACAAGTGCTAAACTATTCGAATACACAATGAACTATTCGAATAGAAAATTAAAAACTGAAGTGTGAAAAACTGTCAACTAATTGAATAGTTTGTAGCCTATTCGAATAGATCCTTGACAAGATTACTGATTTATTCACATATGATACAACTTGTTTGAATAGGTAGGCCAAAATTTGGGAGAAGAAGATTTCAAAGGATGACCTCTTCGTATAGTTAAGTGCATATTCGAATAGGTAGCCTCCGACTTATTTGAATAGGAGACTTGAGTTTTAAAAATTAAAAGTTAACAAAGGCCAAAAACTACACAAAAGGATAAAAAACACTTTTGGATAATAAAAGCTTGTTGCAACAAACTCAAAAACAATTTTAGAAAAAAAACAAAGAAAACCGAAGGATTTTGAAACTAAAGAGACCAAGTGTATCAAATGTGTGTCATACACTTTAACAATCAAGCTAAGACTCAAAAAGACTAAAAAGATCTAGAAAACTCTTCGTCTCTGATCTTCTTTTGAAGTCCCAAGTTTATTGCCAAGCAAATCATCAATCCAAGTCCCGTAAGACGATATTTAAACACAAGGGTCAATAACTTTCCTGTTTTGATAATGAGAAACCCAAACTTTAATTTTATTTGGGCTTGAAATAAGAAACTCATGTTTCAAACAAAGATGGCACGCCACACAACATATAACATTCTAGAAATGGAAAAGCGTGCGTGTATACTTGAACGAACAATAACATACTTCACCCGTGTGGTACTGTTTTAAAAAAGTTTGTAAAAGACTTACAAAAACCGCCTCTTATTTGCAAGCCATCCGCATGCAAAAGCAACCAAAGCTTGTATTCTCCCTTTTCTCATAAGCAAAAAAGGTGAAGGACGCACATAAACATAATCACAAACAAGTTAATGTATCATCATCAAAACTTATGATCAACATAAATCATAATCCGTTCTTACTTGAGTTTAATGTTTCCCATTGCTTGAGTCTTTGAGATATCTTTCTTGAGGCTCTTACAACAACAACCCCGTTGTATTACTCAAAAGTAAGGCCCGGGGAGGGTGTGTGTACGCAGACCTTACCCTTACTCGAAAGTAGAGAGGATTTCCAGACGCAGCCTGACCCTTATGTTTCAAACATAAAGCAGTTGTTTTCTGATGACCCATGATGAGCGTTGAAAGTTGCATTTACTAATTCCTACACTATTAAAAGATGTGCAAACAGTTTAAAGAGCCATTTTGTTTATCCCATCATACCCCAAAGAAAAAATACTAAATCTTTGGCTTCATTAGGGATGATGCAAGCTCATTTTGAGCCTTTTGAGATCATTATTCTTGAAGAATACATCTTATATCCAAGCTTATTATCATCATTGATGATGATCCTTTCTTTGTTAAACCAAGTTTAATCCTCATTTATCAAGTGTTTGAAAGACCATTGGCCTATTCTATAGAAACTTTGTATTGAAGCACATCCGCTCAAATTTGGGAGAATATTTCTATTGTGGTTGATTTCTTACTTTGTGTAAGGATATTGTGTTCTTGGTATTGGGACTACACCAACTAATAGATATCCTAACGTGATATGAAATCAAATGTTAGGCAGAAGAAATCTAGCTTCTTGTGAATCCATGCATGGTGGTAAGATAAGAGGCTTGTGAAATCAAGGTTTCGAGTTGCAAACAATTTTCCAAACGCCCATAACTTTGGTGGATAGTGAGGTTCAAACACGACTGTTCGTGAACTAGATGTATGCATTAGGCCAAACAAGAATCAAGATGACTTGATTTACGACATAGGCTCAGAGGATCTGGAGGAATATCAAGACTACTGAATATGTTACCCGGAAAAATTCTCAAAATTCGCTAGACACAAAATGGTCGACCATCAGGAACAAACAATCGAGTATATGAACACCTTTGAAGCGACGAGAAACAAATTGAAACAAGGTCGACCGTGGATGCCAAATGGTCAACCACCACGATATGGCAGATGGCGATCCATCTACTGGACTATGGTGGAGGAACGATCGACCGTTCTTAGGCAATTAGAGTTCTAGAAATTGCCCATAATTTCCTACTTTGGCTTGATTTTAATGATTTCTTTTTCAAATAAATTTAAATCTTTTCAAGGTATATTTTGATTGATCTCCAAGATCAAGGTGGGTGGAAGAAGTCAAGAAAGATTATCTTTGAAGATTTTAGCAAGATAATTATTATTGTCATTACATAGTAATTATGGAGACAAAATGATATTAAAAAGACTAATCACTCTTAGCTTGAAAGGAAGGTTGGGGGACATAATTAAGGAATATCATTCAAGGTTATTTCCTAGAAGTTTAAATACAATTTCCTAGACGTTTAATTTTGTTTTATATTTCGTTAATTTTAATTAAGTGTGCTGAAGTTTAATTATGCCTATAAAGTGGTATTTCCATTTTAAGGGCATGTTGAATTTGAATGAAATTTTGAGTGGGTTTTGTAATCCGGTGTGGGTTATTCATTTGATCCTTTGTAGTCAAGAGATTTGTAAGAGTTTTGACAACGAGCAAGTTGTAAAACTACACCTTTGGTGTTGCCAAGTCGGGTCTTGTGGAGGTTTCATAGTTATAGACTAGCGAGTCTCTAAATCACTTTATCCATACGCATGTTCATACAGAATAATCCTGCGAAAACAAAAACCCACCTCCTACCAAGTTCGAGCACATCATTTAGTATCAAGGTTAAAGTCCTTTCGAACAGGTTTTCTTATTTTGTTTCTACTGTTGAGTGTGAAGCCAGGAAGCTAGATGGAAGCTAACAGGAAATTGCCAGGAAGCTACCTAGAAGCGTACGGCTTAATCATTGTCTCCCTAACTAATCTCTATTTAAGAGATGCTAATGTGCTTGTAATTGTGGTGCAACAACAAATAATAAAATCCTCCTAGTTGCCCCATGTGGACGTAGGTTGCAGTTGGCGGCCGAACCACGTTAAATCCTATGTCATTTATTTTTCTGCAGTTGATTCGTGATTGTGTGTTGTTTCCGCGTGCGTTTATTCCCAACAAGTGGTATCGGAGCCTCGTTGTACAACACGAAAGCACAAATTGTGAGTTGTCACCTAGGTTTTGGGATCTGTGAACAGTCGCCGCTGTGAGTCGTGCAGCAGGGGAGAGAGCCGCAGCCTTGGGGTTGCCTCGGTGCCGCCGTCGCGCAGCCTTAGTCTCCCGCCGACCGCCGCCGGGTTGGAGATCCGCCGCTGGTCCGTCCCGCCGCCGCCGCTAGCCGCGCGTAGAGGACCGTGGCGTTAGAATCGCCGTTGTGAAGGAGAGGACTGCCGCTGGTTCGAGCAGAGAAGGGAGAACCGCCTCTGTCGCTAGTCGCGCGCAGAGGACCGCCGCTGTTCTCAGATCGACGCGGCTTGTTCGAGGAGAATCGCCGTCATCCGCGTGCAGTCAGGCCGGGTTGAGGAGCCGCCACCGTCCTCAGTTGACGCTGCTGGTTGAGGATCCGCCGCCGCAGTCGTGTAACCCGCTGCGCACAGCTCCGCCGAAGTCCAGTGTTGATTGTCGTTCAAATTGCACAACCGCCAGAACAAAAAAAAGGCTTTGAAGAAAAAAAAAGGGTTTTTTCTTTTTGGCAGGAGTTTGGGCCGTGTGATTTTTTGTTTTGGGCTGGTTTTTTATAGGTTTGGACTGGTCTTATTGGTGGGCTGTGGATTTGGCCTTGATTTCCTGACGAAATTACCAAGATCTGAAATTAGTTGTACCGGGTATCTCATCTTGTCGTTGGAGATGACAGAAGATGGGAAGTTCCGAATTGAGAAGTTCGATGGTACAGATTTCAGTTGGTGGAGAATGCAAATTGAAGATTTGCTGGTTCAGAAAGATTTAGACGTGGTATTGGGTGACAAGCCAGAAAAGATGTCAGATGCAGATTGGGCAGGTTTGGATCGGAAAGCAATGTCCGTGATCCGACTCTCGTTGACCAAGAATGTTGCATTCAACATTCTGAAGGAGACGACAGCGAAAGGCATCATGGAAGCGCTGTCTAATATGTACGAGAAGCCATCTGCGGCAAACAAAGTGTTTCTGATTAGAGAATTGGTGAACACAAGGATGAAAAATGGCTCTTCAGTTACCGAGCATATCAACAAGTTGAATTCGATCTTAGCTAGACTTTTGTCAGTGGGCATTAAGTTCGATGATGAAGTTCAAGCTTTACTACTATTATCGTCATTGCCTGACAGTTGGTCCGGAACTGTTACAGCAGTTACCAGTTCAGCGGGACCTGACGGATTCACTTTTGAGAAGATTCGTGATCTCGTTCTTGGCAAGGATGTCAGAAGAAGGATTTCTGGTGAGTCTTTGGAAGAATCACTAATATCGTCAGAGGCAGAAGAAATAACAGAGGTAGTGGGAGTAAGAACAGACAAAGGAGTCAATCGAAGACTCGGGATAGCTCAGGTGTAACATGGTGGAAGTGCAAGGAGGTGGGACATTTCAGGAATCAGTGCCCGAAAGAGGATAAGCAAGTGAACATTGCTAGAGGCTCCGCGAGTGACGAGGATTTGTTTATCTGTTGTGCAGAGAGCAGTGTAGATTCCTGGGTCATGGATTCTGGTGCTTCATTTGATGCTACCCACAGTGGTGAAGCATTGCAGAATCTAGTTGTTGGGGACTTTGGAAAGGTACGACTAGCAGACGACGGAGCTCTTGATGTGACGGGCATGGGTGACATAGTGCTGAAGACCCCTGTCGGTTTCTGGACTTTGAAGGATGTCAGAGTGGTTCCAGCCTTGAAGAAAAGTTTGATTTCTGTTAGGCAGTTAGACGAACAGGGACACGAGGTGAAGTTCAGAAATGGGCAGTGGAAGGTCGTGAAGGGAAATCTTGTCATGGCCCGTGGAAGGAAGAGAGGTTCGTTGTATATTGTCGAGTTACCATCTGAGGGAGTGACCGTCCCAATTCAGAAGAAAAACGAAGTCCGGTTCACAGAGTCTCGTGGGCAGAAGAAGGTTTTCTATGCAAGAAAGAAACCCAGAGCCACAGGTCAGACTCAGGATGAACGAGCGAGGAAAGGTTCAATGAGGCCAGTCAGAGGTATCTGTGGCAGTGGGAGCACAGGTTTTGCTTCAGCCAAGGTTCCTATAAGACATTGGGTCCGGAGAACCAGTATTCCAGCTGTTGAAACATCTCCAGAAAATTTCTTGCTCAGTATGGAGATTGTTTGTTTTCAGGATGTTCCAGGATCCGGCAGTGCGTGTGTGCAGTGGGAGCCGGTAGGGACCGAGGATGAGTCAGGGGCAGTTCAAGCCATGACTGATGGGTTGAAACTCAGGAGAGTTTCAACAGAGTCTTCTCGATGATCAAGAAGGCTGGTGGCAACTAGAGGTNGGTGGTGGAATTTTGAGTTCCGTTATCAGATTACAGAAGTACATGTGCACAGTTGAAGCGCAGGTGAACATTGTTCCGTGGCTTCAAGTGGGAGATTGTTGAGTGTGAAGCCAGGAAGCTAGGTGGAAGCTAACAGGAAATTGGCAGGAAGCTACCTAGAAGCTTACGGCTTAATCATTGTCTCCCTAACTAATCTCTATTTAAGAGATGCTAATGTGCTTGTAATTGTGGTGCAACAACAAATAATAAAATCCTCCTAGTTGCCCCGTGTGGACGTAGGTTGCAGTTGGAGGCCGAACCACGTTAAATCCCGTGTCGTTTATTTTTCTGCAGTTGATTCGTGATTGTGTGTTGTTTCCGCGTGCGTTTATTCCCAACATCTACCATCATTTTATTTTTTCATCATTATATTATCATTTCTTAATCTCGCCATAAACTTCTTCATTTCTACCTTGTGTCAAATTTTAAAAAACAGTGAAAAATGAATATAAAAAAGTTGTCAATAAAAAGAAATTTTCTATTTGTATTGTATTAGTTAGTCATCATTCTTGTTTTGTTTTCTTCATTGTTGTAATCTTGTAACTTCTCGTTATTAAAAAAAAGGAGTCCAAAAAAAGTAAAAGTGTTGAAGGAAGACTCTCTTCTCTTACTTTTTCATTGCCCAACGTCTCTATATATGAGGCGGGATTAGGGTTTACAGTTAAAGCCCAATGGGCCCACAATACATAAACTACAAAGTACAATCCGTAATACATATTATATCTACACGATAGCACACAATTTGCAGTTCCCTTTAACACTCCCCCTTGTGCTGAGTTGTAGATAGAAAGGTAAATGTCTTGTTGCCTCATAACGCATCTTCAAGTAAGAAAACCTCTCGGGAAAAATAACCTTGAGTGAACGGAAAGAGTACAACTTTTGTAGAATATGGAAGAATTCCTCCACTGAATGTTAACTTCTGTTTGCCAAGAAACAAACACCCAATGGGAAAATAAAACTTGGCATAAAAGAGTATTATAATATGGGTGCTTGACTCCCCCTGGAGTCTACACATGTCCCTGATTATTACATCAATCAATAGGGTCACACATATGCACTTTTATATTGCTTTTGAATTCAAGCATCCGTTACCTCTGATGATGACACTAAATAAATTTTCTCAAAACAATATTGTCTTGTGTGCCAAATAAAATCAAAGAGCGATGCATTCTTATTGCCTCATTAAAACCTTGCCAAGTAACAAAACCCAATGGGAAAAATAAAACTTGGTCATAGGAAAAAGAGTACAATGCATCGATATGGTCGATGATAATTAGAACTCTTCCTAAAGTGTTATATACATTGCACTGATATGTACTTATACCAATGACACTCATAAGACGTCACAATCGTGATACCATAATGTATCCCATAGAATATGCATTACTAATTTGAGGTTTTTGTTTATGAGGGTTAATGTGTCTTTGACCTTAATAAAACCGTCAAACAAGTTACTTTATGTTTAAGGGTTACA